ACTGCCGCCCCCTCCATGTGAACCCAAAGAGACAGTTTTAAGTCTATAGCAGTCGTCTCCTAAAGACAACTGAAACTGTCCCTGTGTATGTAGCTGCTTTTCCGGCTTGTCTCCATAGATGTATCGGGAACCGCTCCAACAACAGCAGCAAGTCATGAATTGCGTTAAATCTCCATTTAAAGAAATGCTGCTATAAATGTTCCTGAAAAGGACGGGGTGCTATAAAAGTACCCAAACACACGAGATTAACCTAACTTGCCCAATTTCAAATAAAATGGTGCCTTGTAGGTTCACATTAAAGGAGACCCTTTTTTTCAAAGTGTATGGGTAAAAAAACATGCCGTATATCTCTGCAATACATGCACATTTCCCCCTGTTGTGTCTCTTTAAAGTGTATTTCCACTTTTGCAGCCAAATTAGGAGAACACTTATTTTATGTTTGTTATATGTTCTGATTCTCATAGCAGAACTTAAAATCTTTACAAATTGCTTCTATTTTAAGGGCTTTTTATTTGCTTAAAATGCCTACCTAGCTTCTCCTCTATGTAATGTTATGGAGGGGGCAATGTGAAGTTATGTACACTCTCTTTAACCCTGTGGGTGCTGTTCTGGCACATCTCATTATCAGTTGCAAACTAACCCTTTGTTAGGTCTGTCCTAACAAAGGGTTAAAGAGTTAGGCCTCATTCCCACTGCTTAGAGTCGGCCAATACAGATCCGTGCGGCGTACATGGCCGTATCGGACCATTCCCGGGAAGGACAGGTGCTGCGTGTGATTGTACTCATCAGCCTGTTCTTCTCTATGGGAGTATGCAGCCGTAAGCCGCTGTATGCTCACCCGAACTGCACATTTGTGCGGGTGTCCATGCACGAACGGATGTGCAGTTCGGGCGAGTGTACGGCCGCGTACTCCCATACAGAAGAACATGCTGCTGCGTACAATCACACGCAGCACCTGTCCTTCCCGGGAGCCGGGCCGATACGGCCGTGCACGCCCCTTGGATCTGTACAGGCCAGCTCTGAGCTGTGTGAATGAAGCCTTAGAAGCATTGTATGTTAATGAGAGGAAGCTCAGTCTGTCCCTCTACTGTCACTATCAAACTGCTCAGAGCAGCCTGGAATCTGCACAAAGACCTTCACCAAAGAAAAGGAAATAAATATATTTTTACAATATTTTTAGGTATGCTGTGTGAACGGGAGCACATAACAAACATATACTGTAGTGGGCTTTTCAAATCTGACTGCAAAAGTGGAAATACACTTTAAAAACACTGCAAGGACAGAAAAATACCTGCTGATTCTGCCAGAAATCCAATGAGTTCCTAACGTCCTGTTTGAACTGACAACACTGCCTCTGCTGTACTAAAACCCCAAGCAGTGTTGTCAGCCTTGCCTGAGTTCTCCCTTGCTGGACAACAGTACTTCTCTTTCTTATGTTATAGAGATGGAGAGGAGGAGGCGTTGTATAGTCCAGTGGGAAGTGACTCAGACGGGGCTGAGAACACTGCTTAGGATTTCAGTTGAGCAGAGGCAGTGTTTTGTATTTTTCTGTACCCCTAACCTGGTGGCTGGCAGACAATGCAAATCAATAATAAAGAGCATACGTGAAAATAAACTATATAAATAAATGATTTTTTTTTTACCACTGCAGCACTCCCATTGCTGTTGGAAATAGAGAAAAGTTCAGTGACGTTAGGAACAGAGTCACTGATAAAGGTGACATTTCCGTAGACGTGGTGGGGAAACTTCTCCGTGTTTTGCTCCATTATGCCAATCTGAGAGGTTCGCACATGGTAGGGGAAGTTCTTATTGGCTGCAGAGGGTCTGGTGATTATCTGATACATGGGAAAGTAGAATTTAAAAAATATAGGGGGGAAAAAAGCATAAAAGTTTTATTAAAACAAGTTAATAACATCACAACCAGCAATCCCTGAGAGATAAGGCTAAATTCTACATGGGAAAGTAGAATGTAAAAAATATAGGGGGGAAAAAAAGCATACAAGTTTAAAAAACGGTTAAATAAAACTAAGACTGTGTGAATGTAGATGTTATTTCTGTCACAAACACTTAAAAATCGAAAAAGTTGTTTTGGTTTGTTTAAAGAACCTGTCACCACCTAGCATTTGTAACTTTTTGAAGCACAACTTGATTTTTCATTATTTACTTGTATTCTCTCCCTGTCAAAGCAGATGCACCAGGCAGCAAAGCTGTCCTATCTTCTGCCTGAGCTCAGTTATGATTACAGACATTTAGAGGGTTATTCACAAAGATGCAGAAGGCAGCCGAGTGAATAACCCAGCCGAAGTGAACAACGTTCGGCTATTCACTTCGGCTCACTAAGACTGGTTTTAGCCGTACATCGGCTGCCTTCGGCTGCACTTCGGTCAGCCAAGCTTAAGTGCAGAAGGACTTCGACTCTGGATCGGCTGAGCCGAAGCTCCGGCAGTTCACTCACTGCCGTGCGCCCCTATTCGTATAGGGGCCAAACGGCAGTGAATGAATAGCCGAATGATGCCGAGCGGCATTCGGCTAGGCTATTCTGCTCTGTGGTACCGAGCAGAATAGCAAATAGTGAAAAAAGTAGGAAAAAAAAAACAAAAGTTGAAAAAAATGTTTTAAAAATGTAAATAAATAATACATTTTAAAAAAGGATTATGTGAAAAAGAAAAAAAATTGGGCGGAGCTAGAAGTGACAGTCACGGGCCTTCTAGTCTTCTAGCAGGTCCCGGCCAATGAAAAACAACTAGGCGAAGCCGGCCATGACGTCAAGGCCGGCTCCGCCCATTTGTTATTGTTTAATGACAGTTCAACGTCCCCAGGTCTTTTAGGGACGCTGATCTGTCATTACAATTGGGATCACGGCTGGCTTCGCCTAGCTGTCATTTGCGGGCTGAAAGGCCAGCATTCGGCTGCCCATTCACCCCGCTTCGGCTGACACTTCGGCTCAGTCGAGCCGAAGAAAATGCCTTCGGCTCGGTTGAGCTGCTCTGCTGCCTTCGGTTGCTGTACAGGCTAAAGTGAATAGACCCTAGAAGCCATAGAAGGTAGCCGAAGGATCAGCCGAAGATACGGCTGGATCCTTTGACAGCTTTGTGAATAGACCCTTTAATAACTGTCATTATAGGAAGGTGCTATCAGGATTACATGAAAGAAAACTAAAGGTCTTGTTAATTTAAAGAAGAACTCCAGGAAATGTTTTATTAACCCTTGCAATGGGGCTACCCCGGAACTGCAAAGGTTAACTGCCTGTTTTTGTTTAAAGAAATGTTATACTCACCCGATGCTCTGAGCTCTTATACTGGTCCTTCAAGCCTCTATTCCCCTCCGCTAATGCGGTCTAAAGTCCTGTAAATCATCACGTCTATACACAGTGGCGGGAATTTATCAAAGCTGAGCAGAGCAGTTGCCCATGGCAACCAATCAGCATCTCTCTTCAGCTTGCTCAGGTAAGATTTGAAAATTTGAGATAAGCTGATTGGTTGCAGTGCAAATCAGCTGCAGATTTTGTCTACTCCAGCTCTGATAAATTCCCCACTCTGTATAGACATGAGGACGCTGAGGAAGACTCCAGTGCTGCAGTGGAGGAGAAGACAGGCTGGAGGAAGTGCTGTGACAGCTGGCCGGGCACTTAGCTTCGGGTGAGTATAACTTTGTTATTATTTTTGAACTTACGCAAAAAGGAGCACTTAACCCTTGCAGTGGGGTGGTAGTCCCACTGCAAGGGCTGATAAAAAACACATTCCTGGAGTTCTTCTTTAAAGACTTACAATGCTCTGGCAGCCTGGAAAAGTGTTACAGTTACCAGCTCTGAGCCCAGGCAGGAGACCGGTCAGCCTCCATGGGGACCTCACAGCCTGGCAGTTACATTTTTGTTCTAACAGGGAAAGAATACAAGTTAATAACATCACAACCAGCAATCCCTGAGAGGTAAGGCTGCACTATTGTAGCATTGCAAGACTAGAGATTCATTTTTGTACAAATGCTGATTCTTGACTTATTCTCTGTTTAATCAGCTGTTATTTCTTTCAATACACATTTGTTCCTGACGATTACAGAATCCTACAAAATGTCATTTACAATATCAGGACATGGCGTTACAATAGGTATTTTGTTTCAAATCTTTTGCAGCAGATTACAATGTTCACTGAAACAAATGCTGAAGCAGAAGCATGCTGTATGTCAGGGCTCAAAATTTCCACTTGCCCCACTCGCAATTTGCGAGTGAAAATTGCGTGGGGGCGAGTGGCAATGAAGCCTCCTCGGGGCGGCTTCCCTCCTGTTCACCGACCTGATGACATCGCTCCCTCGTCCGTCCGTCTAAGCAGGGGGGCGCAGGAGGGAGCGCTGCCTGCTGTCAGGATGGCGGAGCAGTGAGGGGTTGAGAACCTGCACCGGCAGCTGTCAGGATGGCCGAGCGGGTTGGAGATCGGAGCCGCTGTCATCCTGTCAGTTTCAGGATGACGGCGGCTCTGTGCGTGGCAGAGCGGGAGATCGGTAAATATCAGTGATATTTACCGATCCTCCATGTGAGAAGGACAAACACTGGAGCGATCGTCTGATCACTCCAGTGTTTGTAAATAACTGGGGACACATAGTATTATGTGTCCCCAGTTATGAATGAACAGGCTGTGATTCACATCACAGCCTGTTCATTCATGAATTTCTCAATGGGGAGAAACACTCAGTACAGAGGCTCCTCCCCATTCAGAAACAGCTGATAGTAAATATTTTACTATCAGTGTCTGAATGAATGGGAAGCCTCTGTACTGAGAGCTTCCCATTCACTGAGTGCTGAGGCTGCTGAAAAAGAAATTGAGGATTTGGTGTCCTCAATTTCTTTTCTATTTTAAAAGGGAAATGTCAGGGGTCTGTTTGGACCCCTAATATTTCCCCAAAGCCCCCCCAACAGTAAAAAAATAAATCATAAAATAAAAATAAAAAATTATAATAAAAAAAATAAAAAATGTAAAAAAATATTTTAAAAAAGTGAAAACTGCTCCCCCCCACACGCATATTATTAGACATGTGCGAAGACTAAAAATTAATTTCAGATGAAATGTGTATGTTTAATGCTCTGTGCATTGTGCTGTGGCTGTATGTGTAATGCCCTGTGCGTTGTGCTGTGGCTGTATGTGTGTTATGCTGTATGCGCGTTGTGCCCTGTGTGTGTTTGTTTGTGTTATGCAGGGCAACTGGTGGCGAGTAACTTTGAAGGCCTGGCTAGTAGCTTAGGACCTGAAATTTTGAGCCCTGCTGTATGTTAATGTTATATAGTGTACAGGCAGTAAGGAAAACCATTATAGTGCTACGGGTATCTTCCTATGTTTGAAACGAGAGGAAACAGATGAAAGACGTAGCTGAGATACCCCTGTGTGTGTGACTACTCTAACTTGTTTCTGTTTTGTGGATTCTGAGCAAAGCCTTCTCATGCAATGGCAGGTCTTCAACTCACCAGGAAAACGGCGTGAGCATATAGATGGATTCCAAGCTGTATACCGTTGACGATCTTCTCACGGGCCCACTTTGGAATCCCAAAGTTTGCAATCAGAGCCATGACAGGGACGGCGAAGAACCTGCCAACAAATATGAATGATGGTGCTTTTTATACGTCGTCTCTTGTGCCGGAAATTAATGCAAAACAGCGTGACCTGGTCGTGGCGCAGTAATAAAAAGTCCGGCCAGAATCGGCTCATACCTAGGTGAAATATGGAATCTAGTCCTTTCAGTTACCATATCTGGACCTCGTCAGGCAGGATTATATTATATAGGGTTATATATAGTAAACTGAACAACAAATGTATTACCCCAGCAATGTGCACGCTGCAGAAACCCGACTGCAACCAATTAGAATCCTCTTCCCTTGTTTCGGCTGCTTCAAACTCATGAGGAGCCAATGGGAACTGGTTGCCGTGGATTGCTACATGTCACTCTTCTCTGCACTATACTGTAATAGTAATATAGATCAGTCTTTCTCAACCTGGGTGCTGGTGCCTTCTGCCTTCCTCAGGGGTGCCTTGAATTTTTTTTACAGAGCCATGCAATTCCATGGTGCAGAAGAATAATAACTGATGCCGCAGCCCCCTATCGCACCACCGTACCGTGATGGTAGGACCCTCGTGTGAAGGGGGGACTGAGGACTTTGATGTGAAGGGGGGGTACACTGATGTGAGAGGAAGGGGCTTTCATGTGAAGGGGGCTCTTGATGTGGAAGGGGGGGTTCCTGATAAAGGGGGGCACTGATGCGAAGGGGTCGGGGTTCTGATGTGCAACGAGGAGTCTGATATGAACAGTGGCTTCTGATATGAAGGGGGGGGGGACTCTAATGCAAAAGGGGTTCTGATGTGAAGGGAGGACTCTAATGTGAAAGGGGGGATTCTGATGTGAAGCAAGGAATCTGCTGTGAACAGGGGCTTCTGATGTGAAGGGAGGACTCTAATGTGGGGATTCTGATTTAAATGTTCGGTTTTGCCTCTATTCACACAGAACAAACATTCACAGAGAATCACAGGGCGAATGGCTCTGTGAATTGTTTATAAATAGACCCCTAAGCGTTTGCTGAAATAATGCTTCTTCAGCTTCCCTTTAGTACTGGTGGCACGATTGCAAATTGAAATAGCCCATAGCAATCTAGCTATTCATTCCTACGCCGAGGTTTTTCGTTTTGTTTTTTATTCTGACGGCAGCATTCTGACAGCAGCAGCTGTCAGAATGCTAAAAAAAAAGCAGATAGTGCGGGAAGCAATTGCTTCCTTGCTATCTGCCGTCATTTCAGGGGGTGTAGAGGGCACCTCTCTGAAATGAGAAGGGCACCTCCCTTAAATTACTTTTTTCAGGTTGGGATCCCTGTGATTGTATATCAAGATATAAGTCTACCCCGGGTTCCCCTGTTCACTTTCATACTCACCACAATGTATAGGCTGCAAAGAAGGGCACATAGAAGGCCTGTTTTTCTGGGAAATGTTTGAGGGTCACCAGCACGGCATAGCAGAACCATATGTAGGCCAGAAACTGTAGAGCGATGTTCCCATAGCCAGCAGGGGACTCGTATGTGTAGAGGACCTGAGCTGGGTCAAAGAACTGGGAGCAACACACAAGTACAAAGACAAGTAAGAACCCAAAAACAGGTTTCTGAATAACACCACCATCAACATGAAAACAAAACTTACATTTTTTATATATGGCCCCCCTGTGTAATGCAAAAAATATAGGGTACAGCAATGGGGGCGGAATTGTGCCAGAGTCATAGAGAAATATGGCCCATGCACATTCCCTGTGCCCCGTCTTCATCAGGGCACCATATATTTTAGGGGTCATGTCAGAGGGGCAATTTTGTAGTGGAGTTTTCTCACTGCTACAAATCTCTAATGGCAGCAATTTACCGCAATTTACATAGTTGTTGCCGATTTTTCACCTATAAGCAACTTTTTGCAGCTACAAACTCGTGATACATCATTACTTTTGCGTCACTAATTGCTCTCCTTCAGCGATCTGTAGCTAAGCCATAGAGCTGAATGCAGAATTACTGTCACTTGCAAGCTTGTCGCCAATATGAAACTGCAAATAAATGGCCCCTCTGACATGCCCCTAATACTGCCGCAGGTTTCCTTTATTGCAGGGTCTCTAAAGTCAAAGCTCATTCAGGTATTAAAAATAAAACAAAAATTAATGCATTAATTAAAACAAATAGTTAAATGTATATTATATGCACCTCGTATACATATTAATTTCAGCCTTGGACCAGGTTGGGTGCCCTGCATTGATATTTGCAGCCAGGTGAAGGTAGCAAAGAGATGACCTTATCAGTCTCTTGCTGCTCTTTCATTGCCCAATCACAATGTGGAGGCAGGGAGGTGACCTATTTGTGTTGCATTCTTGCAGTAGAGAAAAATCTGGTTACTAGGCTGGCTGTGCTGTGTGGTAGACCTGTATTTCGGGGTTGGTGCGAACTTCGGCGCTTCCCGGGACCGCACAATCTTGTGCGGGTGCCAGTGGCCTGTAGGGAAGGAGCCTGCCAATCAACTGGTTATATTTATCGCTATCACACAGTAGCTAACAAGCCCCTGTGTGATAGCATTTGGAGGTTACAGGTTCTCTTTATTGAGCCTGTCACCTCCATGACACTCCTATGACAGCTGAGAGTGGAAGACTGCTCTCCCCTCTCACTGTTTACACGGAGCGGAAGGGTTACTTTTAACCCTGCCCCTCTGTTACCGGCATCGGCCAGTGTGAGGAAAGAGACTCGGCGGCAGGGGGAGGATGGAACCAGCAAAGAGACATCGCCGAGTTCACTTGTAAAAACAAACAATCGGCTTCCTAACACTACATTTTGTCCTGCTTGTGCAGAGCAGGACTAAATGTAGAAAGCAACTTACCGCCCGGGATTCCACACCGCTGCAGCCCATATATCTTTCATTCGCCGCTTGTCACTGCCCGGCGCCCGGCGCCCACCCCCCCCGGTTGTTACGCCACTCGCGGGTGCACACAGTGGTTGCCGCGCGGCACCATTGATTATAATGTGGTTACATCCACGCAGCAATTGCTAAAAAAAGGTACATGCAAGGTGACACGCGCCGCACTATTTTTGAAACCGCGATTGCAAAGTTGATATCACGGCGGAAAACACGCAATCTGCCTAGGGCCTCTGGGGTGCCATTAGAAAATAATGGCACCGCCAGCACAATTGGCGGTGGTGTGCGATTCCACGAACGTGCAACCATCCGTGCGGTTTCATGCACGATGGCTGGACGGTCACAGATCGCCCAGGTGTGAACCTCGCCTCAACTGTGTATTTGGATGTTTGCCATGAGTTCAATTTTAAAGTGGCCACCATAGTGGGGTCACTTATATAAGAAGACCAGCCCTGGAAATGAAGCCCATCTATGCTTACCTTTCCAGCAGCCGGTGTCTGAATACCTTCAACTACCACACGTATGCAGTGGTTCCTCCTACTGGATCCTACAGCGCTACATCATGTACACAACATTGGAAGGAATCGATTCACGTGGCAGGAGGAACTGGTATTCAACCGATCCAGAAGGGTTGAATAGCTGCAGCAGTCACGGAGCAGTGACCCTACGGCATTTCTAGATACGGGTGGCCGGAAAAGGTAAGTATAAATGGGACTTTTTTTTACAAGGCTGACCTTCTTTTATGATGACAAGGTCACTCTACTAGCCTTACAAATTTTGCTGACGCAGCACTAAAAGTATATTGGCTGCTGATAATTTAGGATTGGACTGTATGAGTTTAAGGATTCTTACCTGAGCCTCATGTATAAACAGCACTGTGTGTGTAACCGTGTACAGCGTCATGTAAACTGACAGCTTAATAGATCCAAGGTGGCTGATTCGACCCCTGCAATGACAAAGTCAAAAAAAGTGACAAGAGGCAGAATACAGCGCAAGCTGGTGACGTATGGAGTGGACAGTAAGTAACTTGAGCTTAGCATTGAGACATCCGGGTCTATATGTTAACAGTTTCGAGAGCCAATCACTCTGTGAATCTCTTTGAATGTTCATTCTATGTGAACCCCATCTTTTATATTTTACCAAAAATGTTGTGTTTAATTGAGTGTGTGTATACTAAAATTCATTTTAGTATTTTTTTTTCTTCCTGAAAATATCGATTTGATAAACATTTGTGCAAATTTTGTGCGACATAAAAAAAATGCACCAGGCTGAGGACCATTTTTTTTATTCTACAGGGGCCTCTGCTTTCAGAAAACATATAATTGTTTGGGGTTTAAAGTCGTTTTCTATCCAAAAATCCAGATTGTAGTATGTGTGTGTAAAAATTACAAAACTGCTCCGGGACTAAGGTGGTTAATATGGTCCTGTACTGTGAGTAGTGGCGGCGGTGATAAACTGTGCTGTGACCTATCATGCTGTCAGGTGGTCTGTATACCTTGTCACGGTAAATCCTTTTCCAAGGATTACAAATTACACCCATACATGCCATATATACTACAAATTACAACCATACATGTCATATATACTACAAATTACACCCCTACATGCTATATATACTACAAATTACACCCGTACATGCTATATATACTACAAATTACACATATACATGCATCCACACTATTGAACTGACCTAGTATTTTGATGCTGGGGCTGCCCACTCCATCCTGTGCATACTGACCCCAGTATATACAGAAGAACACCAGGCTGAGGACTAGGAGAGACAGACACTATTATATATTTGGTTTGATATTTGTGTGGGTATCTATTTATAATTGTGCTCTGCCAGTCTTGTGATTCACATACACATTGTACAACATCCTGGTGCAGCCCGGATCACCTACCTAACTGGACAGAGGTGGCCATGCTTAATCACTGTCCAGTAAGTAGGCTGGAGGGGTAGAGGTAACAAAAGGGACTGCAATGCTATCAGTTAATGTGTGTGTCTTCTGGCTGTGCAGCGTGGCAGATGTCTGCAAATCACAAGAATGGCTGAGTGGAATTACAAGTTATTTGGCAAGTAAAACAGTACACATGTATATTTAAATTGTGGATTTAGCTGTTTGTCTGACGTACTTGATAACATCTAATATTTTCTCCTGAATAAAAAAGCAGAACATGAGGGTGGAAGCCTGGGACATGAGGAAATGTGTAATGGTGACAAGACCACAAGACATGGGGCAGCTGGAGGAAACAGGTTTTATGGTAAAGGCAAAAATCCTTTTTTTTGGTTGAGAATAAAAGGTGTCACCGTCCGGTCAGCCATATGTATTCCAAAGAAGTTCCACAATTAGTGGTATCAGCTGAGAGAGTAGATAACTTCAAACATATTTGGATGAATATCTCAGTTTATAAAATATACAGGGGTATTGACATAAATAATAGATATGCACTGATACTAGTATCGGTATCAGTGCCGATGCCGAGTATTTGGGCGAGTACTCGTACTCGCCCAAAGGCTTTGATCCCTAGCCCGATACTTCCCGTATCAGGAAGCCGTGCAGCAAGTCATTACACAAGTGACAAGGGAGCATGGAGCCGGCTTCCCGGCCACTCAGGAAGCCGGGCAGCATGTAATGACGCGGCTCCCAGCTTTCTGATTGGCCGGGAAGCCGGTTTCATGCTCCCTTGTCACCTCATACAAGGGAGCATGGAGCCGGCTTCCCGGCCAATCAAGGAGCAGGGCGCTGCATCATTACACGGCGCCCGGCTTCCTGATTGGCCAGAAAACTAGCTCAATGCTTTCTCGTCACCCAGTAACGAGAAGCATGGGGACAGCTTCCCTGCTTCCTTAATGGGACTTCCGGTATTGGCATTCGGTATCGGCAAGTCAAGGGGGGAAAAATATCGGTACTCGTACTCGATACCAAAAAACCGGTATAGGTGCATCCCTAATACAAAGTGTATAGACATGAGGATGCTGAGTACCGAAAATAAATTATCGGTACTCGTACTCAATACCGAAATACGGGTATCGCTGCATCCCTAATAAATACACAGGGGTATGGGCAAAAATATATACAGAGGTATGGACATAAATATACAGGGGTATGGATAAAAAATGTACAGGGGCATGAACAGAAATACACAGGGGTATAGACAAAAATACACAGTGGTAGGAACAAAAATACACAGGGGTATGAACAAAAATACACAGGGGTATAGACAAAAATACACGGGTAGGAACAAAAATACACAGGGGAATGGGCAAAAATATACAGGGATATGCAAAAAATATACATGAGTATAGACAACAATATACAATGGTATGGGCAAAAATATTCAGGGGCATGGACACAAATATACAGGGGCATGGACACAAATATACAGGGTTATGGGGAAAAATATACATAGGTGTGGAAGTTCAAAGCAACATGCAACATTTACACATACATACATACATACATACATACATACATACTGTATATAGATTGAACTAGATGGACCTGTGATTTTTTTGTAACCTTACCAACTCTGTAACTATGTATGCAAAGATTTTACAAAGAGTACAGAACAGTCACATGTCAGGCCCATGATATGAGCAACTGAAAGAAAAAACATCAACATCAGCTCAGCCGAGTTGGCCACAGCAGGTTTGTGGACAGAGAGGTCCAATCCAGAAGGTGGGAGTCAGAAGAGGTAGAAATGGAGACAGTGGTTACTCCAATGGTGGCCCCCAGATACCTAGGCTCATACCCCTAGGAAATGAACACAACTCACCTTCTACTCCAGCTGCTGCCATGAACATCTTGTATGTGGTGTGCAGAAGCTGTCTTCCTCGCAATATATCTGTTCCAAAAATGAGGAGACAAAAAATAATAATTAGATTTTTAGTTTTTAGAGTGTATGTACACCCCAACAATCAACTTCTCTTATTTGCTCCATTCTGGTCTATAGAATTTTGTTATAATAGCAAGGAACCACCTGGCAAACTTGTTAGAAATTCACAGCTGTCCCGAGTCCTCTGCCTGTGTTATATCAAAGAGTCCATTTAGCCCTCCTAGTTCTGGTCTTGGACTGCAAGTCTATTAGTACCTATGGTTTGGAGATGGAGATAGTGGCAGTGGTTGAGAATTTTAGCAAAAGAAAACTGGGCAGGGCTGACACCCATCGGTCAGTCCATAAAAAAATATAATTTCTAGTGCTGACCTAATTATCCTAAATACCCTGTGTAAAGTCTTATTGGAAGCTGAGGGGAGGAAAAATAGGATGAGAGAACAGAAAAGAGGTAAAAAAGAAGTAAGGTAAAGTAAGTATCACACACACGGTGTCGCCAAAACAGGAAGTGAGAGGAAATCATGCAATGAATATGGCTGCCAGAGTTTTGTGCGATCCTTTATGCCAGGGGTGGGGAACCTCCTGCCCTCCAGCTGGGATGAAACTACAAGTCCCATGAGGCATTGCAAGATTCTCACAGCCTTAGGCATGACTCCCAGAGACAGATGCATCTTGTGATTTGTAGTTTCACCCCAGCTGGAGGGCCAGAGGTTCCCCACCCCTGCTTTATGCCAATGATACTGCCTCTTGCTTGAGCTTATGTGTTATGTTATGTTTTTAAAATTCGTTCTGATTACTATATTAAGTTCTCTTTTTGAGTGACATCTGCACTGTTATCATGCATGAGGTGACCTGAAATGATCAGGTTGGGACTTTGTGCTGCTGTATCCAGATTACCATTGTCAGTGCTTTAATAATGGCTGAATTAATCACTACATAATTAAGAGGAATTGGTTATTTTTTTAATAATATGAACTTCTTTTTTTTTCACATATGTTTAATTATTATTAATGTGTACATCAGTTTTTATTATTGTGTAATTGTGTTTATTATTTAGCACCATTCAGGGAATCCAAATGAAAATGTTTTTTATATGTTTTTATACACTGGCAATAAAGTCTTCTTCCTAATACTAATAGTAATAATAATATTTGCCATAATCTAAAGTTCCATGCTGAATTTCATTTCTAAATAGATCTCTACCTAAACCCTTTTGAGACCAGGGCCAGGGGGTCAATGATACCTTGATGACCAGGCCAAATTTAGCAGCATTAGCATGTATTATTTTTAAACATACATTTTATATTTTGTAAGCCTATTTAGGGCTTTTATTTGGTACAGTGCTTTACTTTCAAAAAAATAATATATATATATATATACATACACTATATTGCCAAACGTATTGGGACGCCTGCCTTTGCACTCACATGAACTTTAATGGCACTTCCAATGATTTGGAGGGGTGTCCCAATACTTTTGGCAATATAGTGTATCTACTGTATATGTATATATATCCCAGGTTATCAAATATGCATAAATGTATAAAAACGTGGTTTTAATGTTTTTTCTATTTTTTTTACATTCATTTTATATTATTTATAATAAATCAACTGTATCTGACATTTGAACTCTCGAGGAATGCTGCTGTCAGGAGGTGGCAGTGTTGATCTGCAGGCTGAACGCATTTTAATTTTTGTCAACGAAGCCTCCAGCCTGCACTATGACGGGGTCTCTTTTTAAAGCAGTGAACATTCTCTGGTGGAGAATCAATCGCTGCAAATGAAAAGGCATGCACCTGGAAGATTCACCTTCAGAGGACGTTTGCTAAATTTCAGATTCACTGCTTTATAAATATTTTCCAAAACTGTGCAATCTGTTGGCACTAAGTAAATGAATACTTGTTGTTCCCGTTGTTGTAGGCAGGTTATGTGTATTTCATCATTCTGTTGATTAGTTGTGACTGTGAGCTGCAGAAGTCCGGGCACTGAAGGTTTCACATAATTTTCCAGCAGCAGCTGTTTATATTCACAACACGCTCCCGCAACAACATTAAAGTACCTGACTTTTCCTTTCAACAATGCATCGGAAGACAAAAGCCAAACAAACGTAGATCTGATTCAGATCTGAGGTGTTTGTGGGTTTTCTTTCAGCAACTGGGATTTTTTATGATGACCAAGCTATGCCACTATGGGCTGTAGCACTTCTGCTATTTATTTACTACAGACAATGCATATAAGCTGAATTTCAGAATAAACAAATATTGCCCTCATACAAGAGTCGTGTGTATTCTTCTGGGAATCTTGGTGTATTTCTTCAAGATCTGTGCAGTCATCCAGTGTGAGACTTGGCGCTTCCTGTAATAAAGACCGCTCACTGCTGCTCTCTCTCCTTGTGCAGGGTGACTGGTCTTGTCTCTGCCCCTTCTGTAAAAAAGACCACTCACTGCTGCTCTCTCTCCTTGTGCATGGTGGCTGGTCTTGTCTCCGCCCCTTCCTGTAGCATTCTGCAGACAGCCTGCAGTAGGTGGAGCTTCTTGTAATAAAGACCGGTCCCTGCTGCTCTCTCTCCTTGTGCAAGGTGACTAGTCTCTGCCCCTCCTGTAGTTTTCTGCAGGCAGCCTGTATTGGGCAGACCTTCTGGGACCCTCCCACAGCTCTGCTCTCTGCACAGGCTAATTTTACAAGGTAATATCTAGGTTTTAAAATTCTTTGCATCCAAGTGGATTTATGTCCGTTGTGGCTATTGCTAAATATATTTAAATAAAAGTGTTTGCACCCAGAGTTCAGCTTAAGCCCTCATTCCCACTGCTTAGAGCCGGCCAGTACAGATCCCTGCTGCGTGCACGGCTGTATCGGGCAGCTCCCAGGAAGGACAGGCGTGTGATTATACGCAGCAGCCTGTTCTTCTCTATGGAAGTTCGCTCAGCCGTACTGCACGTCTGTACGGGTGCGGGTGTCCCTGCTCTGACACAGACAGGATCCATCCTCTCAGCGTACGAGTATGAACACCCGCACGGACCTGGAGTTCGGGTGAGCGTAGGGCGGCGTACGGCCACGTACTCCCATAGAGGAGAACAGGCTGCTGCGCATAATCACATGCAGCACCTGTCCTTCCCGGGAGCGGCCCGATACGGCCGTGCACGCAGCACGGATCTGTACGGGCCGGCTGTTACTCATGTGAATGAGGGCTTAATCTTTAATCTTAATCTCTAATCTTTGCTTTATAACATTGGCATTGTCTGTCTGTCCTGCAGCATTAAAGCTTAACTCATCAGAACATTCTTAGAACATCCATCAGGTTTTTAATGCTGATGGGGAGATCCTTCCTGACTATATGGGTCAATGACCATTGCCACCACGACAAAAAGTAGCGGGAATTTCAGAAACTTTATGGTTGTCAACAGGGCCGTAACTACAGATCACGGGGCCCCATAGGAAAAATGTGATGGAGGCCCATCTTGACGACCTCTCTCTGAGCTGTGAGCAATGATGCCAAAATCTCAAAGACTCCTCCTCTGTGCATCTGAAGTCGTCTCTACACTGTAGACTTTACATGGGATTAGAGTCGCCGTCAACTGCAACCACTCCAACCCCTAAGGATACAGTACTATGTTATCTTCACATGTTCTAGGTTTAATTTGCCTCAACAACCTAATGGGGCTGCTATGGCTATAGTTACGCCACTGGTTGTCAAGGTAACACGACAAGTCGGCATATCATCCCGATCCATTGACTTCTGTCAAAAGTGGGAATTCCTCTCACTTTGGGAGCTGTCCACTCACTTCATGATGCGTCTCTGGAACAGGAAGTGAAGAGAAATCTCTGCAATGAGGACATACAGTGGATGGAAATCTAAAACTGACAAAGGCTGAGCAGTGGCTGCCCAGAGTTCAAGAGGTGATACTGCCACCTCCTGAATACCATTTTTTTTCTTTCATCCCAATGTTTTTTTTTTATTGCAATACTGCACGGTTGCAGTGTAGTATCATTCATTGCAATTGATGCGATTGTGTCATGCTGTTTAAAATTTGCCATGGCCGCAAGGCAAAGCATTGCTCCCATGGCATATATACAGGGTTCAGCACCTGCTATTGTACCTTCTAGGTGGGTGGCCAGGGAATGAAAAATGTGGATCAACCGTCTGCTTTAACTGCCCCCCTTGTCGCCTGTCTGAACAAGGCCTACGTCACCTAGACCCCATGCCAAAAGGACCAAGTATGTCACTGGCTTCCATGTGCAAACACATTGGCAGGGAGGGCAAGGGGTAAGTCAGGAGAGGGCAACTACGGCCCTCTAGCTGTTGTGGATCTACAATTCCCATGAGGCATTTCAAGATTGACAGTTACAGGCAAGACTTCCACGGGCATGCTGGGATTTGTAGTTAAAGCACAGCTGGAGGGTGAGAGTTGTCCTCCCCTGGGGTAAATGTAGATACCGTATAAGATTGGAATTAAAGTGAGCCTGTGGTTTTGCTCTACATGGGCACATCTGATATGCCCTCTAATAGATAATACTGCGCTCCGTCTTTAATCCTGTGAACAGACTGCGAGACATGCATTGGTTATTGTAGGAAGAGGACAAATAATGGAGGAAATCTCCCTGCAGAGAGACAACACTCGATTGACCCTTACCTTCATTTACATGTAAATAGGAAAGACTTCTAAGTGCATCCATATCATCAAAGTCATGGAGATAAATCTGGCTCACAAGTGCTCTACGTGTAGGACAAACCTGGGATTTCCATAATAAACTGCCGGCACGCTGCAATAACACCCCTTCAGTCTACAAGTATTTGTCTTCCTAAGTCATTGGAGGCTCATAGGGGAGATGGAGGCTCAAGAAAAGAACTTTGTTTTCTGCATGGAGGATCTGAAAGCGGATATCTGTTTTCTTGAAGGAGAACTCAGAAAAGCCGCATTCAGTTGTGATAGAGAAAAAAAAAGCCATTATATCTGATATCTGGATTTGGACACACAGTTTGGGAGCAACATCAGAATTTGACTCCCAGAGCCTCAACAGTCTTGGTTGTTCCAATAATGTCCAGCCATGTCCAAGACCTACAATAGCCACCTCAGACCGTATGATCCAGGGGCGTGCGGTCAGGAGAGGCAGGTGAAGCAGAGCCTCACCTAGTATTATAAAGAAAAAAGGTGTCAGCTTCAAGTGTGAAGCTGACAGCTTTTTACCCATTCAGATCGGCTTCTATCAGGGAAAACCTCCCCGCTGTGTAACCTGTGCTGGATGGAGAACTGCCTCTTAATTACAGGCAACACTGCATCCGGCTTTTGACAAGTAGTTAGGTTACATAGCAGCAGGCTTCCCCACTGCTGGTGTAATCAAACTTAGTGAGGTAAGAGCTGTCACAGCCTCTACTCTGTGTTAGAGGTGTGAGCTTTGTGGATGGCTTGGACCAATGGCAAAGTGCCATTGGTCCAAGCTGTCCAATAAAAAAAAAACAATGAGGACATCGATCTCGATGCCTCACCAGTGACAAGCAAGTGACGGGAAAGGAGGCTCCTCCCTGTCTCCTCTCTTCCTTCTCCCCACACAGCTTGGTTACTGAGCTGAGGGTGGGGCTTCGGTTGGACGGGGTGGAGCTTTGGAGGGACAGGGCGGAGCTTCAGTGGGCTGGGCGATGCCTCACCCAGCACAGAAGGCATGGCACGTCACTGGTATGATCTGATCCAAGATTAGGTCCACCCAAATTCAGTGATGGTGATCAGTAGTGCAGGTGTTGGAGTTTAAAGTGATAAAAAGTCAACATTTGTTTAAGCTATTTCAAATGCTGATGAAATGACTAAAGGTGCCCACACACCTTACAATTTATCTGCAGATTTTCTGTGGTCAGATGGAAAAAGTGGAACAGATTGGCCCAGGTGGAGATTACTCCATCCACACAGTTAAGTGTAGATGGAGTAATCTGTTGCACCTTTTCCATCTGACCACAGTAAATCTGCAGATAATTGTAAGGTGTATGGCCAGCTTTACAATGGAAGCTGCTCCTTGATGTTTAAAGGTTTTAGAATCAGCTGGTCCCCTGAGCACTAGTCCTGATAACCTGGTTTAAAGTAGCTGCTTTCCCTTGCAGGGTCCTATGGAGCCCTACTTGTGTGTGCTAGTAAGCTGGGTGTGTCTCCACAAACACATAAGCTCAGCAGGTCCCCTGCTTCGCGATCCTACTTCCTCCCTTCTCCACGCTAGTAAATGGACAACTGCTGGGGACTGCTTTGTCCCTTGTGATCTTGTACTGGACAGGAAGTTCAGGGTAGCAGAGCTGAGGGAATTTGAGCCAGCTGGTTGGAAGCATGATGACTGTAAGCGCTTGGGCAAAAATGTAAAGAAATACTTTGCTTGGCGATGTTTATTTGTTTGTTGGTTTATTATTAACCACTTGCTGACCGGGGTGTTTATACACCCTTCCTGTCCCCGCCATTTTTCAGTATTCAGCGCTGCGGTACTTTGACATTTATTCCGACATGCAACGCTGTACTGAAATACATTTTATACAATTTTCTGGGGACAGATAGAGTTTTCTTTTGGTGGTATATAAGCACCACTGGGGTTTTTATTTTTACTATATTAAGGAAAAATTACTAAAACTTTTGAAAAAAAAAAAGGTTTTTTTTACAATATGTTAGGAAACAATTATTATTACCCAATTTTTTGGTAAAATATAAAAGTCGGGGTCACGTCGGGTACATAGACACCAAACATGTAAATCTTTAAAATGCGTGCACCCGTGAAATTGCAAAAAAATACCATACCCAAAATTGACCATAGGCGACGCTTTAAAAGCTTTTGCCACTCATCAGTTTAGTGTTATCAGTGATTGATGGCCCTAGAATGATTGCTCTCACTGCGATGTTCGCGGCGATATGTAACATGTATAGCCGGCGGATCACTTGTATGTAAACAGGCATCGCTGCCTGTTTTAAATTTTGGCACCTACCTGCTGATCCCCTGTCACAGAGCCACCATGCTGGTCACGGGCTCGCACCAGGCACAGCTGAGCTCAGGACCAGCGGGAGGGGGGGCCGCGGAGGAGGGGGGGGGCGCACATACCAGCACGCTATACAAACGATCCGCCGGCTCTGTAACCGGCCTTCACACCACATCCAGGAGGTAGAACACACAATACACCAATCCAATATACTCACAGCCAAAATAACAGGACAGGAGAAGGATGAGGACGAAGATGAGGAGGAAGGTGATATCCGTCTCCAGGATCCCTACATATCAAAGGACAGAGAAGCATTATTACACTGGACCAGGAACACTTTCATTTATGAACAATACTGTTATAACAATGGCTTCTTCAGGGACCTCACAGTAGCAAAGTGATTTCTGCAAGCAAAAGATTACCCTTCTATACAACCTTATAAACAATTTAAAGGGGACTATAGGGAATCCCTAAATTGAAGAAAAAAAAGCACAGATTTGCCGTGCTTTTTTTTTTTTACAATGCACCAGACTGTCTTATGACCAGCAATAAGAAAGTCCATTCAATTAATTTCCATCTGCTTTACATTTTTGTATAAAATACAAACAAACATTTAGCGCAGATTGGCTCTGTGATGTTCACCTTACAAAGCATACTGAGCCTTGTAATACAAATCTCCAGCTGTGCCAGTATGCTTGTAAGACTATACCCGGCCGTTTGGGTGATACTGCGCATGTGCGTGGTCCTGTATTCCGCAATTGCAGGAATCATGCGCTAATACGCATGCGCACGCAATACAACATAAGCGCAAAGACGCTCTAACGATGCGTACAGGATATGACACAACTCTCCTTGATAGATGGCTCTATTTAAACCTGCCTGTTCTTTGGATCATTGCTGAATGGTCTTTCAGTTTGTGTGTGTGTTCCTGTATTCTGCCTGTTCCTGTGTTCTGCTGCCTTGACCTGGATCTCCATTGGCTACACTGATTGCTGCCTGCCCCTGACCTCTGCTTGTTCCTGAACTACTCCTCTGCCTGCTCTTCTTGTACTTCACTGCCCGATCGGTGTTGACAATGGCCTGCCTGACTTCGTCCTGCTCCTGCAGTGTTCCACACTGACCGCTGGCTGTATCCTTGCCTACTCTCTGCTTCCTTGCAAACCAGGCACAGTGCCCTACACCCCCCTGGCACCGGTGCTGCTCTCTGTCCTCTCACTCCCTGTCTCCACTCTCAGGGGTGCGGGACAAGAGTTGCAAATGAAGCCTCCTCAACTACTCGGCCCTCTACCAGGTATGTGATAATGCTATTTGGCAGCCTACGTATAGCTGACTAACACACATAAAATGTAATCTCAGCTATAAGAGAAGGAGGGGGTTGTGGGGTATGTCCCTCCTCTAAGCCATTAATCAGTCTGTGTAATCTGATTTCTCCTGCTACATTGGTTTGTTTCACAGCAGAGTAGAAAAAGCCTAAAAAATCTGCTGTTCTAGGTTGAATCTCACTACCAGCTAGTAGCAAATACTAAATATTAAATACTGAAATATAAAATGTACATGTAACGCTGTACTGAAATGAATTTTATACCATTTTTTGGGGACAGATAGAGCTTTTTTTTGGTGGTATTTAATCACCACTGGGGTTTTTATTTTTTACTATATAATGAAAAAAGTACCCTAAATTGAAAAAAAAAAACTGTTTTCCCTACGTTATGTTATAAAACATTTATCAGCACCCAATTGTTTGGTAAAATATAAAAGACGGCATCATGTCGGTTAAATAGACACCAAACATGTCAAGCTTTAAAATTGCGTGTGTTTGCAAAACTACCACGCCTAAAATTGGCCACAGGCGACGCTTTAAAAGCTTTTATTGCTCATCAGTTTAGTGTTATCAGTGATTAATGATAAAATGATTGTTCTCACTGCGACGTTTGCGGCGATATGTAACATGTGCGGCGTAATCGTTGTTTTCACAAGTAGGTGCACCCGCCGCATATTTACATTTATAAGTGCATGCACGCGGGGGGCTTAAAGCTTTCTTGGGTGTTTTTTACTTTTGTTTCATACGAGACTTTCATTTTTTTTATTTTTTTTTACACTTAACTTGATTGCTATTACATAGGGGGCTAAAAATCCCCCTATGTGATAGCAAAAAAAAACAATGACAGGTCCTCTTTATGGAGACATCAGGGGTCTCTAAGACCCCTATTGTCACCTGGCGACCCCCAAAGAAGCTGACGAAGCAGAGATCTGCTTCATCAGCTTCTTCTCTAACTATAGCAGCCAGAGAAATGACAGCTAAAAGCGGAAGTGATGTAATAGACATCCGCCTTTAGAGAGAGAAGGAGGAGAAATCAGCGGTGGGGAATGCTGATCTCTCCTTCTTCTCAGTACAAAGAGCCGCTGTTTCGGTGGTTTCGGTCCCGGGTACCGCAGGCGGGATAGCGGTGCCCTGGACAACCAGCAGCGGCAGCAGAGGGGGGGGGGCCCGCACAATGCAAGGTTATACACGCGATCGGCCGGCTGTAGGGGGCACGCACGATCAGAAAAAAAAGTCAGCCAAGCATCCGCTGTCCACCTGTATTTTTACGATGGGCGGGCGGCGAGGGGTTAAAATTATAATTATTTTAAAAGGGATATTACTTTCATCCTCCATGTTTATTTTATGTGTATCCATTTCTAAATATTACTTGATGTTTGTAATCTGTATCATTGGTTACAACTGGATGTTTCTCCTCCATTCCTAATGTATCTTTTCGTACATTAGTCTACATAAGTTTTTATGATTGAAAATGATGATAGTTGTATACGGATGATTTAAAAAATTGATTTACACCGTTTGTTATACCCCAATTGTAATTAACTAATTTAGGAATACATACAGTGTGTACATATGTTTTTATAGCCCCGAAGAAGGGGGAGGTCTTTGAACCCGCTAAACATTTTGGCTTTACTGTGTTGCCATTTTTATGAACTCATTATTATTAAACATTTGTGGACTTTCATACTGTCTTGTTTGGCACTCTCATTGGACTCTAAATATGGGCACATCTACTTTGACAGGGAGAGAATACAGGAATAACAGCACAAACACCTCTCCCTGAGTAAGCACTATTACAACAACATAAAGGGCCAGTGATGACAGACTTTGGGCTGTGTTGATTTTGCTTGCTTTTGACAAAAGTTTGAGAAGCTTTTCTTGAGGTCATTCAGAATTTGACCTGCAGTTGCCATTGAGAGAAGCAGTTATGAAAGCGAACAAAAGCCTATCAGCACAGGCCCTACTTGGGGAGATTTAATTCCTGGTGGATCATTTTAAAGTGGAGAAAATATTCTTCCCGAGTTTCTTTATTAATAAGCATAACAAAGCATAGTATCATATTCGTCTCTTATGAGGGGCGCTCTATCAGGGGCCCCTGGAATCTCTCTGCTTGGCCACCGCTGGAGTAATGAAAACAAACATATACGGTCCTTCTCGTTCCACTACGATGATCTGTGTCCACAGTGAGCTATCTGAGTAACACAGCATGAAACGATCTGGCTGCCTCAGCTATATAACTATGCATGTCGCTGTTTGGTTTGGCTCGCTGCACCGCGCGCTGTCTGTCACCATGACAGCGTACTTCTAAATGATGGCAGTTGCTGGGACACACATGAACGGATCGCTAGTCAGGTGCCGTTCCAGAAACATCACAGCTAACTCAGAGTCAAAGTAAATCTGCACCAGCACTAAGGGGGTTATTCACTATTGAGCCGAAGGATACAGCCGTAGCTTCTGCTGATCCTTCGGCTCTCTTCGTCCGCCGGAGCTCTTCGGTACAGTTGAACCGAAGGGCTGCTGTACGGGCTATTCACAATAGTCCGTACAGCAGCCGAAGTGACACCTGATGCGGGGCGAACAGCCTACCGTTCTCCCGGAAATGACAGCTGGGCGGAGCCAGCCGTGATCTCACGGCTTGCTACTGCCAGTTGTAATGACAGATTAGCATCCTTGGATTTTATATATACAGTATACATTATTATTATACAGGATTTATATAGCGTTAACAGTTTGCGCAGCGCTTTACAATATAAGGAAGACATTATAATCACAATACAATTCAAGACAAGATGGTAAGGAGGGCCCTGACCCCTAGGGCTTACAATCTAAAAGGGAGGGGCAAGTGATACATGAGGAGGTAGCTGTGTGGGGATGAATTCTTTGAGAAAGTGATTGTTCAGTGGTTAGGTTGAGGTGGGACCGATGCTTGTCCAAGTACTCACAGTTACAAGTACTGATACATTTTTTATTGTCATGTGATAGTTTTTCTAAAACAATACAGACTAATGATTTCAGGACAGCAGTGGAGCGGCAGGGCCCAGTCACAGTCGCAACTGCTGCAACCCTGGTGATTTTTATTTTTAACTAAAGTAATCTTTAACAAGGACTGCTTATTTACTAAGGCCTCCCTCCCCTTTGCTAAAATGCTACAATAAAATGTAAAAAAAATCTTTGGGGGGAAAAGTTAGTAAATATACTTACCTTTCCCCTGGCTACTGTACTGCAGGAGGTAACATCACCACCTTTCTGCAAGATCCCGGGAAAACGCTGAGAAAACCATATCATACAACACGATGCTCCAGCAAAGGAGCATCAGCGTCTTATGTTGGGATTTGGGTTAGCCAGCATTCCTCTGTGTCTTGTCTGAAGGATGGTGATGTCCATGACTATGGAGAAATGAGGGTATTTGCAAAAAACTTTTTATTCCCACCATCATTTTGGTGCAGTATTTTGGGACGGGGAAGATAACCCTTAGTAAATAAGTAGACCTGACTATTTTAGTGCAAGGTCCGCTTTAAACTATAAAGAAAGAAATCAAAAATATGATTTATTTTTAATTAGTAAATGTTAATATTTTGACATTGATCAAATGGTCAGTTTATGTCCCAAACAGCAGCCTGTTCATCAATGCCAGTTCCTAACCTTCAAGGAAGTAAACACTCCAAGGCACAAAGAGAGGTATTGTAAATGGTTATACTGACCAAACTCATCTGCGGAGAAGTGTCTCGTCCAGAAGGATTTTCCATTTGTCAGTGTCATCTCATACTCCAACTGCAGACCATCTCCCTGCAGAGAGTGACAGTGTTAGAAATTGGATATAAAATCAGTACAGGGGGTAGGAAGCAATAGGAATGAAAATAAAACTCTCTGCACTATTCTCACACTCCACCTGTCAGCAAGCTTCCAGTTTTAGGGCCCATTCACACCACATCCAGATCATCTCCAGACCAGGCCAGATTGCTTATGGACCCAAAATGCATCCTAATGTATCCCTATGCTATTTCTGGCCTATGTTCACACCAGTACAGTCCATTCCAGACCAGACCAGAAAAATACTGCATGTCTCATTTTGTCTGGTCTGGAATGCACTGAAACTGTGGGCTGGTTCACACCATTTTCTGGACCAGATCTGTTCCGGAAAATGGTGTGAACCTGCCCGCAGTTCCAGTGCATTCTAGACCAGACAAAATGAGACATGCAGTAATTTTCTGGTCTGGTCTGGGATGGACTGCACTGGTGTGAACAGGGGCCAGATATAGCATAGGGATACATTAGGATGCATTTTGGGTCTGGAAACAATCTGGTCTGGTCTGGAGATGATCTGGATGTGGTGTGAATGGGCCCTTAGACTGACAGTACTGTGCAATACGGAAAGCCAGATTCAGGCACAATATATAATGATCTTTTAAAGCATACATATTCAGTAGTGGTGGTTTATATCTGCGTAGAGCATCTTTAAAAGATAACTGTCATTTTATTATAGTTATACTTTATTACCCCTCCACACACACAGACACAGCAACCCCCCAAGTCCCCCGTTCCTTTGAGATATTCACTGTTTGGTCTGTTGGGAACCACTAAGCCTCCTTAACAAAAGTCTTCTGAATGGGCTTTAGTTCTTCACAAGCATTGAAGGATTGCCATTCATTTCTATGTAAAGGCCACTTATGATTTGACTCAATGGTAGATGGCCTTTCCATAGGTGTTATTTCAGGATTCTTTCAAAGATGGGGGGAGAAAGCAGTGCCTGGCTGGAATTATTTCGGCGATAAGGTTGTGCGTCTTCAGCGGCCCACACACACAATATTTCAAGGAGCATTTACAGTGTAAGACTTGGGGAGGTTGGGGTGGAGACATTTAAAGGATAACTGTACAAAAGTACAGTTATCCTTTAAAATGGATCAAAGTAGCCCATAGGCTAGGCTACACTATCTGCCCTTAGACCTTCCAAGATTCCTGCGTTAGATAACTTGATGTTCAGATTGAAAGTTGAATTGTCCCCCTTTCCCACATAATGGTCCTCTTGCCTGGTGGCTGGCCAAGGGGGCACACAAGCTGCATTGTGGATTGGCAGTTTGGGTGTCAAGTGCTGAATATTTTTTGGACAGTCTGGTGGCAGACCAGTTTGATATAGATCAGGGCAGCCCAGGGAAGGTAAGTACAGATCAAGGTTTACGTTAAAGCAGGCAAGTGATGCAACCCACCAACACCAAAATCTAAGACACCAAAGTAAACTTTTCCTGTCCCTAGGTGATGTCCATAAATTCTCACCCCACACTTGCTGAGCGCTATGTACCACCATCTCTCACGGACAGATCGGAAGCTTCTCCCACTGTTGCAGCTCAAGTAGTTCTGCCCATTTTCTTTTGTCACCTGAAGGAAGAAGACCAAAAGGGGGTATAGAGTCAATCTAGAAAATAGGATTTATCCAACACCTACAACACAGCATGGATGAGCAATGGAAGAGCAACTGGAAGAGCAATGGAAGAGCAACTTTACAACATCTAAACGTCTTGTATTTGGTCGGCTAAATATAACATTTTAAATGGTTTTATTTATTTAATACAGGTATTTATATAGCGCCGACAATTTAGGCAGCACTTTACATAGCTGCATATTCACATCAGTCCCTACCCTCAAGGAGCTTACAATCTAAGGTCCCTATCACACATGCATACATATAGGGCCAACTTAGAGAGGAGCCAATTAACCTACCAGCATGTCTTTGGAGTGTGGAAGGAAACATGAGTAACTGGAGGAAACCCATGCAAGCACAAGGAGAACATGCAAACTCCTTACAGATAGTGACCTGGCTGGGATTTAAACCAGGGACACCCGTTGCTGCAAGGCAGAAGCGCTAACCACTACGCCACTGTGCTGCCCCTGTTTTAGTATATCTGTTCAATAAGTGCAAACAAATACCCGTTCACCTGGCAGATATCTTATTAGCTAATAACTTCAAGTGGAATCTGCCTCTACTGAGTGTTATCAGTTGTCATTATTATTAAACTCCACATCGCACATGTTATAGAAAAGAGGAGAGGCAGAAGTGTTCTGTAGTCTTGCCCTAAGGTGACAATGCTGCTCCTCCATAGATACACAGTAAGTGAGCATTGCCATCTTAGGAGGGAAGTGTGTTACTGGCAACCACCAGGTTAAAATAATAGGATAAAGAGTCTGAAAAAACAAAACTAATGCAGCCATCACGTCTATAGACTGATAAGCTGAAGCTGCAATATATTCAAATTTTGTTCTGGTGTTTAGACAAACTTTCAAAGATATAGGCGTACACTGGAAAGATAAAGTGGGGCAGGAAGATGCAGGGGGCATCCAATCCTTCTAAAGGGTGAGGCCGTCTATATCTGTCACAAACCTGGACAAATCAAACTGAGCAAATGATGATAAAATACATAAGAAAAAGTTTCCATCAAAGAAAATTATCAAAATTATCAGAAGATCCAGAAATAAAAGCACATTAAATTCAATTCTTGACTTTACCTGTAAAAGTCAAGATAACCCCACCCCATGCCATACTGTGAGCTTGGCTATTGGCCATTTATGGGATTGGCAGCCTTAGGGGCCCTAAGCCTAAGAAAGTGGTGGTGGGAGTCAAAACTAAGTTTTACAAGAAAAACTGTAGAGTATAAAGTTTCCACTCCTGCTAATTGATCTGATGTGTTTTTCGCCCTAACGTTTTTCTTCATACGCTAAGTTTAAACTGTTTAGACTAGGGACATGATTACTTTAGGACATTTGTCTGCAGTACAGGCCCCATCTGAATACAAACATTGCTAATCGTGAAAGGTTTTCCATCCTCCCTGACTGACTGCTCCTCCCCAAGCGGGACACCCACAGACAAGAGAATCAATGCAGTCAGTTTCACCTGAATCAGTACAATGCCCCCAGGAAATTAAGACTTGTTGGGTTGAATGTTAATTTGGATATTAGAATCATCAGCTTGTGATATTTATGGTGGACAAATGGATTATCTTGTAACATTATGGTAAGTAGTCTGCTCTGAAACGACGAGTATCCACAAGCCACTGAGGTACCTTGGGTAGAACCTGAAGTGCAAAACCAACTGATCACCAATAAACAATTCTTTCTATGTAGAGATTCTTATTCCTTTGTATTTTATGTTTACAGGCTCTTACACATTTTTTTGTTATCTACCAGCCCTAAATGATTGTAGGTTGTTTTTTTTTTTGCTCTTGTTAGTATGAAGGAGAATGTGTGAAACTCCCGAAATGTGTTAGCTATCAGCTTCAAAAAAAAAATTAATCATATCTGAGCATCCCAATGAAATACTATTTGGCACAATGTTGCCTTTTTCACAGCAGATCTAAAGGACATGAAAGGCTGAGACTTACAGGGTTATTCACAAAGGGGTGAATAGTTTGGAGAAGGCAGGAGAAGTGAACAATCTAGACCCAAATAGCTGATTTGGAAAAATTCTCCAATTCAGATCACTTTCCAGTTCAGCTATTTGTCCTAGATGGTTCACTTCTCCTGCCTTCTCCAAACTCTTCATCCTTTAGTGAATAACCCTGTTACACTATAGATATGGACAAGTTATTCAAGTTGTTTGCCTGGAATTCTCTCCTTCACCCACCACAGACAAAAATTGATTTTGGGAAAAGGGCACACTGGCCACTAGCAGGAGAGGGATGGAAGGGTACTGGGATCAAAGGGGAGGGAAAGTGCAGTTCACCTTGGGCGGCACGCCAAAAAATCTGTAAATGTGTTTACCTGTTTTGGGTCCAACCTCTTCTGTCCTTCATTACACATTCTCTAGTGCACCTGCTCTACAGTTTACCCCTCCTCCAATCTACTTTTGCTCTCCTTCTACTCTACCTTTGCCCACCTAAAGAAATTACAATCTGAACGATAGCCCATTTTAAAAATACTCATTCATGAATTGGCATGCATTTGCTAAATTATTTATAGGTGGGGCTAGCCAAAAATGCTATTTTGATATGTTATTATAAAACTAAATCAGGAAAAACATATGTTCAATACTATGGAACCATTTATTAGTATGGTAGATTTAGATGATATAGAACAGTTGTTCTTGTAAACTGTGAAGGTAATAATGTGGGACATGCAGAGGATTACCTTTGACTTTAGACTTACAGGAACAGTTGTGCAGATTAGAATTTTAATCTTCAATGGTAGCATGCTTCAAGTAAGCAACTCATAGTGAAACCACAGGATGGGTTTGATAACCAGGTAACTAACAGCTTCTTAAAGAAGCCATAAATAAAGTCAGCAGTCGTTTTAATTATGGCCTGTTCACTTTCAATTACAAAAAAAGAGAGACAGTTTTAACAGACTTCACTTAACTTATTAAGGGCCTTACCAGACAGCCAGACCAAACGTACTGCGTTGTCAGGTTGATGACTTGGTTGTTCTCCGGCCGGATTACAGATTCTTTCATCAGGCAGTCCTAGAGAAAAGAGTACAAGTTGTAATACATTCATCATTCACCAGGTAATGTATGTACAGAATCAGCTTCCAGCTCCAACTAACCTTGTTCCCATTCTTGTACACTGCTGGCCATTGAGACGGGTCGTCAAAGTACAGCAGGATGTTCTGGCAGCACTTAGCCTGGAATCAAGCGTGAAAGAATGAGCAGGGGTGTGACAAAGGACGGCCGTTATAACTAAAAGTCTTGTCAATAAAATGAACCCATGTTTCCCACTTTTGTTAAAGTGTTTCTCCAACCAGTATCTCTTTATGGTTCCATTGGGATTTTCCCAACATATTATAAGCGAGTGTGGAGAAATTTTCAAGAGGAACCCAGACAGCAATTGAAACTTTCTTTTTTTTGTAGAGTAGGGGGTGTTAGCTTCTCATTCCTGTCATTGTGCCTTTTGAAGATTGTCTCACGTTTTCCAACCAGGTATCTTACCAATAAGGAGGTGAAGCAATCAAGAGCTAGACCACAATGTAGGTCAGTGTCCAATCTGGCGTGGAAGTTCTTTTTATGGCAGGGGAGGGCCACAAAGGTTTGGCCTGGGTGGCAAACACAATCAACTGGTCCTATCATGGTAGGGTTTCCAGTGAGCTAAACGTGTACCATACAAAGGGAGCCCAGTGATTGGTTGCATGTGGTCTTCTTGTGTATTTTGAGCCAAAAACATTTTTCTTTGTTTTGTATAGATTGGGGTAAGTCTCTCTATAAGAGTCCCAGGATTGCAGTAAAAACCAGAGTTCTGATCCTTCTACCTCTATCCAAAACTAAAAAAAAGTTTTTGGCTTGAGATTTACTTTAAAGGACATGGTTTTTGGGTCTGGAGGCTAACATGGCAGCAGCTTGATTCCCACACTCTGACATGGACTCACACTCAGAACCTACCTAATAGCCTACAATAGCTTCCCCAAACTTAGCTCACCAGGGGGATTTGAATAAAGGTGAATTGCCCATGCCTTAGACACCCCCATCTCTTCTCACAAAGGCCATTCTTGATGAGTTACTGGATGTACTCCTCCATAAGATTACATTGTCAGCGGCGGTTATGAGATGAAATTGTGCTGAAATCTTATTTTGCAAAAGGGGGCTCCCTCAAGTTTGCCTTTTAAATACTAAAGGGAGTGATTTTAATGCTGTGTGTTCTCTTTTCTTGATATAACAACCCTGCATCCTACTAATCCTTCCAAACCCCAAGTCCAGCTCTCTACATCATTCTAAACGTGATCCATTCTTATTTGCTATTTGATACCAATTATACATCCTACCAATCCACAATAAATTTCTACATTTCACCAGCCCATAAACTGTACTCTAGACTGGATTATTTTTTCATCAACCATGTCCTGGCCACAGACATAGAGCCTATAACATGGTTAACAACAATTACTGGTAACAAACCATTAATACAAACTTGAGTTACTCAAGGACAATATACTCCTTACACTAATTAATTTACATACCTCACATCCTTATGGGCATGCAAATTTTAAATGACTATGGAGCAATATCTGGGTACAATATCAACCGTGCTTAAACAGAGGCACCCCCATTAAATATTCCTAAAGCTCAATTACACCAACATAGGCACACCTAAATATACAAATGGCGTTTTTACATTCTAAAATATTTAGGAGTCAGACTAAGTCTCTCATACCCTTCTTTCTATACTGCTAATTATTCCCCACTCTTCTCTGAAATTAGGAAGCTTTTGAAGCAGTGGACCAAACATGAAATCTCATTTTAAGGATGGATAACCAATGTAGCTACGATGGCTTAACCTAAAGGTTTATGTTTATTTGAGATCCTGCTAATACCAATTCCTATGGCGACTCTCAGATCTTTGCAGAAAGATGTTAACAAATGCAATTGCAATTACCATTCCCAGAGAATTTCTAGCTCAGTCTTACAGACCCAAAATCACAAAGTGGCTTCGGTGAACCTAATTTGATAACATAATATCTTGCTACACATACACTCTCCGTGCTCATACCAAATGGACCAAAGTTGAACAACAACTGTCTCTACCTCCCAATATCTGTTCTTATATATGGGGTCCTACAGATCCTAAACCCTATGCCCCCTCACTTTCCACAATACATTTTACCAGATCTGTCTGGAACTATTTTACCAGAACTATCTAAGACAATTATCATAAATGTTACAAGCTTTCCCCTTACCAATATACTCTTTGACCCATCCATTTCAGACAGCCTCACCTCACTGCTTACAACCTCTAGGTACAGACAGGACCCTTCTAACTCAAAAACATAATTGTTCCAATAACCTTTCAGCTGAGATCTTTCCAAACTATCACAGATAAATATGCGGATTTGGAAGCTCTGTTTGTTCCTATCACTTTCTCAAACAATTCATCCACACACAGCTACCTCCTCATGTATCACTTGCCCCTCCCTTTTAGATTGTAAGCCCTCAGGGGCAGGGCCCACCTTACCATCTTGTCTTGAATTGTTTTGTGATTGTAATGTCTTCCTTATATTGTAAAGCACTGCGCAAACTGTTGGCGCTATATAAATCCTGCATAATAATAATAATAATAATTTAGAATTCAGACATTATATCTTGACATATGCCCCAGATTTACACCTAAAACGTCCTACTCCTTTTGAACCTCCCAAGGTCCCTCCCAACAATATAAGATATGTTATAGAAATTTCAGATTACTTTGGGGTGCAACATTTGTCTATGTGAAAATAGGAACAAGCCCTAAAGCAAAGCAATACATTCCTTTATCTCACTGGGAACAAATGTGGGAATGGGTTGCCAAATCCTCCTTCTGTACAACACATGGGGAAACTCATATTTTGGTACAGGACTCCAGCCAAATTACACATATGCAACCCTTATATTCCCAACATATACTGGCAATGCAATGGCCCTATTAGTACCATATTTTTGGCATTACACTAAAATTACATCTTATTGGAAGCTAGTGGCAGATGTCCTGTATCGAGTGTTTGGAATCCAGCTTTTCTGTCCAGGATCTGTTACACTTTCTGTTGGTTCTTCCCTTCCTGAATGAACTGGATCTCCAATATCAGAAGGCAAATTCCATTACAATCACGATGGGAACATGAACAAAGGCAAAATGTCTTACTTGCTAGTGTATTGGAGGAATGGAAGGCCTAACTACTAGGTTCTATGATACTATCCCTAAGTTCACCCGTACCTGGTGAATGTTTTAATGTGACATTTTAGCTGAGAGGTTCTCACCCCTCCACCAACAAAGATGCTACCAGGTACGTGCCTATTTTGGCATAGACCTGTTACCTTTATGTGTAATGACCTTTTAATTTTGTACCACAACTACATGCTGCTTGATACTACCTTTAATCTACTTGCGACATTGTACCGTCATCCTCCTGTAACCCTTTTTGTAATTATATATATACAGTTTATACAATAAAGACACAGTTAATAAAGTAATGGTATATCATAACACACCTTTTCACAAATGTATGCTAGCAATGGCAAATGTAAGAAATGAATTGAGAATATAGAAGTTCTTTATGAGCTGAACAAGGTTATGGCTCATAATGCGATGCGATGATGGCATAAATACCGCGCCATCACCGCATATATTCCTTTTCTTTCATCTTTTTTTAACAAAATAGCACAATGCATCTAACATTTCTGCATTCTTCCACAATTGACTTCCTTTGCAGCTCTGCATTCAATTGCACAACATCTCAGAGCTGCAAAGTAAAATGTGATCACAGGTCTAGGCATGGAGAGGATAGCAAGCTATATAACCCCCCCAGCAGCTGTCACTGACTGCAGCTACCGCTCTGATCAAGGTCTGAATGGGGGAGCATAGGGGTCACCAGACCAGCAAATGCCCCCCAACCCAGTCCTCCCCTAGTCATTGTGATGTTTCAGGCCCCCAGAAATGAATGATCAATGAACAAAACTGCAGCATTTCACAACACAAGTATGAAACCAGCCTCACGGATGATCCATGTTATAGAACAGCCATACGAATGGCATATCCTTGGTGAAAACAGTTCACTTACCTCCGGATATTTAAATCTGAACTCAAGTCGTCCATAGTCTGACAGAAAGCAGAAGCGTGTGAGAAAGACCCAGTCCTTAAATAAAAAAGAGAAAGAATTAAACATGTCATACTTGATATAAAATAATCATGCTATCCCACAGCTCCCCTTTTCATCCTTTACTCAAAAGCAGAAAACTAAAAAGCTATGAATCCCCAGAGAGATCCTCCACAATCTGGATTGCTGGCTATCATTCCACCAACAGGGCCCTTACTAGAACTGCCACTTCCCACACCATCTCCTCCCTGAACTCTTTCTGTGTGCAAGGCCAGATTAGATCCTTACTTTGACTCATGCAATAATAATTAAAATGAATGCAAGAATGCACTATTGGTAATATTAAAGTGCTTAACTGCAGTCAGAGGATTGCATGCACATTTTTTTTTTAAATTGCATCGCCCCACATTGCATGGTAATAGGTTACCATGTGATGTGTGGCGCGATACAACCCTCATGCGATGGCAAGGATAAGAAAAAATGTTAGAGCAGTGCACCTAACATTGTGAAATTGTATATGTGAGAAACTGAATGTTCTCACACATTACAAAGATGTGAATAGAGCATTATTCTGTTGTCATGGGCACTGCTCTACAAGTGCCATAATGGTAACTACAGCACAGTCTGTGTATAAGACTTCTGCTCTTCTCCATATATACCCTTGGCAAAGGCCGGCTTTGTAGCTTCTTGGCCTTCAGTCTTATCTACATCCCATCAATATTCAGATCTGTTTCCCAGTTTCAGTCATCTAAAGGGCCATTAGAGCTGAACTCCAGGCAAACAGCTAACAGACTGAACTGAAATACATATGTATTGTACTGGCCAAAATATTTGTTATTCTATTCAGTCACCCTTTTGTGATCCTGGCACCCCAACACAGGCAGGCTTGCGACTTAACTTTTGGTACTACAGTAATGCAATGCCGTTTGATCACCATCCTGTCCCAAGCTGCTGCTTGGACAGTGAAGGAGTAACAGCAAACTTCTATGAAAGCGAGTAAAGGAAGTGGCAATGTTGGGTTGAGAGCTGAAATAAGCACACCTTGACAGTTGGCATGCCTTAAATGTAACTTTTTCTGGAGGCATTACATTTGTGAGTAAAGTTCTTATTTAAGTTGACCCTCCAAGCTAACAGTTTGCTCTTAAGGCATGCCAACTGTCAAGGTTGCCATTTTACTTATTTCAGCTCTCAGTTGAACTTTCAAGCTGCAGAGCCAGCTGTCAGTCACGCAGCTGGGCGGATCCAGACATAATTGTCGGGATCCGCTTCAGCTGCGGCGTCTCAGTATACCGCGAGCTATAACTCGCGGTATACTGAGCCTAGGGTGATGGGAGGACGCTAGTTTGTGTTCTCCCGTTACCCTAAGGAGAACTATGGGGAAAACCCTTAACCCCATAGTTCTCCTTTAAATGACTGGTGTCATAGCTGATCACATCTGCAACACCATGGCAGCTGCAATCCAAATAGAGGTCAAGATGGCACCTGGCATGGTTAAGGATATGAAGACGTAGTTACGCTTTATGATGTATTTATGCAACTAAGACCTCAGTAGACATGTGAGGACTTTAACTTCTGGTGTGCTATTTTAACAATTGGATTTTTACGGTATCACCATAAGCCAAGCACCCTACAGTCTCTCCCCCTCCGCTCTAGGTCCTGTGAGTCATTACCTCCAATTCAATGTATAGGACATGAGGACGCCGAGGGACATGTCATAGCTGGAGCGGAGGAGCAGACAGGTTGAGGGGACTGGTCCAGCAGCCAGCTTGCTCAGAGTATCAGGTGTGTATATTTCGGGGGGTTTTTCGCCCCTAGACAAAAACAAGCACCTAACCCTTGCAGTGCAGGGGTAGCCCCATTACAAGGGTTAAGAATATTTCTGCACGGTGTTCTTCTTTAAAGGTGCCAGATGGATTTTGGGTACAAAATAAGAACTGGGTTCTAATCCTTTCTAATTCTATCTATATTAACAAAATAGTTTGGTTGGAGTTGCATGAAGTAAACCGCTTTGAATTTGTTTAGATTTTACCTTAATGTGCAAGTATCCTCTGCATACTAGCACATTAGAGCACAACTACCTTACAAGTGTGACCTTCTCCAGCACTATCGGATTGATCTTTGGTCCTCAGCGCTATTCCCTTCAACCGCCAAGAACCTGAAACCAGTTCCAGGTTCCTGGAAGTCCTCTTTGGCCATTGAGAGGCCACTGAGTATGTAACACAAGGGTTACATCCACCCCAGCATCCGCCCCATTCATGGCATCTTAGGCCTCATTCACACAGAGCGTTTTGCAAATGCCCAAAAAGCCCTTCATTCATTTCAATGGTCCTGTTCACAGGTGAGCGTCATGTCGCCTGTAGCAAAACAACCGTTGCTTGTAGCAAAAGTACATGAGCCTCTTTTTTGGCAGATTCTGCACTTCTTGGCCCCATAGACTTCAATGGAAACACTCAAAAACGACCTTGTGCATATTTTATGTGCGTCTGTCCATTGAGATCAATGTGCCACAATCCACTCATTAATAATATATAGGCGTCTTGCTGCACCCCTTACCAGTATAGGATGTTCCTTGAAATCCTGGTGGGTGCTCGTAGTGATCACGGATGGCGCCGTGAAGATACAATACAAGTTTGCAAAAGGATGTCACCAGCACAGCATTTAAGTGAAATCAACACAAGTCCATTTATTCATGGAGTACTGTCCTTCCAGTACAAGCGCTTTTGGGGCCCCACAGGGTCCCCTTCATCATTCTGAGCGTGATGAAGGGGACCCTGTGCGGCCCCAAAAGCGCTTGTACTGGAATGACAGTACTCCATTAATAAATCGATTTTTATTGATCTCACTTAAATGGTGTGCTTGTGACATCTTTTTGCAAAAAATCCACTCATTAGGGCCTAAGAGCCGGCCCGTACAGATCCGTGCGGCGTGCATGGCTGTATCGGGCTGCTACCGGGAAGGACAGGTGCTGCGTGTGATTGTACGCAGCAGCCTGTTCTTCTCTATGGGAGTACGCCGCCGAACTGCACATCCGTGCGGGTGTCCGTGCTCGGACACAGACAGGATCTATCCTGTCTGCGTCCGAGTACGGACACCCGCACGGATGTGAAGTCCGGGTGAGCGTACGGCAGCGTACTCCCATAGAGAAGAACAGGCTGCTGCGTACAATAACACACAGCGCCTTTCCTTCCCGGGATAGACCGGATACGGCCGTGCACGCCGCACGGATCTGTACGGGCCAGCTCTTAGCAGCGTGAATGAGGCCTAAAACGCGAGACTTGCACGAAAACGCGTGTAAAAATATACACTAACGCACAAAAAACACGCTGTACAAAAACACGCTGAAAAAGTGCTTTTTTTTCTTGTCGCTCTGGTGTGAATGCAGACTAAGAGATGTGTGCGTGAGTGAGTGTGTACACTGCATGGCGCATGTGCCATACAGTGTACACAACAAAATACAAAATTGCAGTGGAAGAGAGGAATAATTTTTTTGGCAGAAGAGACTTTGCATGTCTCTTCTGCCAAAAATCCCATCCTCCCAGGAATTTATTTTCTACACTTCACTTCCACTTTAAATAGACTTTGGTTCCCCTCTTCAACCTCTTCCCAGCCTAAAATGGTTGAACAAATTGATATGTTCTGCTAGGTTGGAGGAGTTTTTGAAATATATATATTAGGATTTTTAATAATGTATTTGTGAAGCAGCTTTGTGAGGCAAAATGCTTTCCTCCCGCGTTTTCTGCAATATACAGACTGAATATGCAGGAACACGGCCAACATGCTGCACTTCCTCCACACAATATACCTCTACCCCGTCCTCGCATTCCAAATGACAATCTTTAATCCCAGCCAGTCCACAAAACCTGCTTTTCACTAGAAGCTAATTCTAAAAACGAGAGAAGGTGGAGCATTAGCGAGGGGCGAGAGCTGCCCCTTATCTAGTATTTGGGACACCTCAACCTAAACAACGGTTGCTAGGATGCCTATTGCGGCTCAATGGTTTCCATGCCAACCTGCCTCTCAAACTGGGAAGAAACCCAGAAAAAGAATTAAGACAAAGAATAAGGAAACAGAACATTCCAGATACGCATAGAACAGACCTATGTACGCCTTGGCTGGAACGGGCAACCTGGCATTTGCTGCACTTGCCATTCAGCCAGGCGTATGTTATAGGAAGAGGTCAGTTCCTTTAAGGAGTTTCTTCTGCACCATAAATGAAGACTTCTGATGGTAATTTCCAAATAAAACAAAAGGGGAGCCCTACCCTTGAAAGACAGGGTGCAGCTATAGTAATAGGGGTGCTCCATTCATAGCTATGAAATACTTTCTCTGGAGAAAATACTGCTCCAGCATCCCTCTAGTTCTATGACCTCATGTGACCTAAAGCTGAGGGCCCATTCAAACCACATCCAGATCATCTCCAGACCAGACCAGATTGTTTCCGGACCAAAAATGCATCCTAATGTATCCCTATGCTAGTTCTGGCCTCTTTTCACTCCAGCACAGTCCTTTCCAGACCAGACCAGAAAAATGATGCATGTCTCATTTTGTCTGGTCTGGAAACGCATCAAACACACTGGAACGCACCTGAAAGCCCTGTCCAAAAAGCCCAGTCCAAAACGCGGCAAAATTGTGGTAAAATGCAGCAAAAACATGGAAAAACGCAATGTGAACCTGCCCTTAGTCATGTGATCTCAAAAGGGAAGGGTCTGAGTGCAGACTGGATGACCCTTCTCTTCAGCTGAGATCATGTGACCATATGCCTTAGGTTGAGTTGAGCTACATCCAAAATTTTGAGTGACAGATAGCGTGGTTTAGGGTTATAACATTTTTCCGGTTTATATTGTTGTGAAAATCTCCCCTTACTGGACGAGTGAGCACAGAGACAGACGTTCTGACCCTTCCCCACGCCACCCAAAAAGTTGTATTGCTCTGTCACTTTTTAAGGAATTTCGCCCCACTTCCTGTACTAGTGACTACAGTAACCCAGACAATAAAAAAGGGGACAACCTGCCATGAACATACCCAGCAACATACATGAA